TGAGAGAATAACTCCGTCTGTGACGTCCGTTGTTTGAGTGAAGGCAATAAAAAAAACATTGCAATACTCAGTAAAAGTGTGACGCAGTCACAACAGAACACGTGACGAATACCAGGCGAGAGGACACATAAAGTGATCCCGATAAGCAGAAGAGGCCTCTCTTCCATCACCTTCATGTACACCAAAATACGATTCACGTCACCTCCAAACATCCGCTTTGTTCTCGTACGGAGTCACTTATGGACATGTACCTGCGGACCAGCACCGAGAACTGCTGGATGAAGGTTATTTCCTCGGTCAATGCGCACGCAAAAAGAGATTCGAGATCTAAAGCGTAACCATCGATGAATAGGGGAGAGAGTTTGTCGACAAGCCCGCCCTCATCAGACAGTGCAGCGCGCTCCGCCCAAAAAAGTTCGAGCCGTACCTCATTAGAGCCGAATGGCTCTCTTTCGCATCATTGTAGCCCAGACAGTGCTACTTCTAAACTGCTTATTGCCTCCCGCTACTTAACCGTTATATGGACGTGAAAACATCCACGAGCCGAGCCCAAATCAAAATTGGCGTCGCGCCGGCCTGCATTATACCGTGCTAGCATCCATGAGGTGCTCAACAACTTGCAGGAACTCCGCAATTACATTACTTTGGAAGTTTTCATCATAGTACTCATCTCTACAAAGTCCCAAAACAATATGGAATAACTTTCCGCCAACGCTAAATGGTATGGACGTTTACGGGCCAAAGCTACACCGGCGCTCACTGTCGACTGGCCGCTTTTTCCTTCCTGCATGTGTCCTTAACCGAATCGGACTGGATTCACCATGCTCTCCACCTCTAGTTGGGCCAGAAATCCAAAGTGTGCCATATTGTCGCATTGTTCGGAGAAAAAAAAAGTGGTGAAATACTTGCCTCATCATTACGACCGAGACGTGGGCGTGTCAGCCCGGCGTAGATTGCGACACTGTTGAAGCCGTTCTCACCTTTTCGTTGAAACGCGTATGCGACAAAAAGTGGTAGAAAACGAGTAATACGAAGGATATAATGCTGTCATGTCATTTGCTCGCTTCAACAACTGGTGCAGAAAGACTTGGCACCGCGGAAAACGCAGCCGCACTGACCCGCCCCGACATCGCGTAATGATGAGGAAAGTAAGTTGGAAACAGTATACACCAGTTATGACCTGGGCACATTTCATCCCGCTCCCGCTAATTCTCGACTTTTAAACAAGAGGTGGCTGCACCACTAAATTAATGACCGCTGTTGCGGATTTGTGATAAATGGTTGAAGTTGGGCAGTCTGGGTGAGCAGTGTAACACTGCACCTTAGTACCTTCAGAAGAGGCACAACTTTGGCGCCATAGGCAGCAGTCAAAGGTAGAATTCACTCTGTCCTGAGCGTGGCACAAAAATGTTCCTCACGCAGGGAGTCTGCATGTTACCACCGACAGAACGTCCCCACTCTTAACAATTGGTTCCCGTCCATTTTGGTTCCTTTTTCGGCCTACAGTTCCTAGCACATCACCAGTGCAAAGGCGCACGATACACTGCCCCTCTCCTCCAATGCTCTGTTTTGTTGACATCGTTACGGCTGAAGGAAAGGGTTCACACACTGAGCGTCTCAACATCACTTGTCGCCAGTTTTCGTGATGTAAAGGCTTCCCCTCCCGTGAAGCAACAACGACGATCGCAAAACGGTTCTTATTATCACCCCCTATCAGTTGCTACCCTTTCTGTCACCCACCTCTGATGTCCCCATCTCACCCTCTATGTCACTTGCTGGAAGCAACGCATCGCTGACGCTGTGGCCCGCCCTGTAAATACACTGACTCCACCTTCTGATGCCCCTTGTCGAATCTTATCAACAGCTTACAGTTTCTTGTCAACCGCCGATGATATTCCTGTCTCATACCTTAACCTTGGAATCAACACTTAGTTTATACTTTCACCCTCATTATGAATATTGTGAGCATCCCTTCTGAACGCATTATCGAGTCTTTTCTGGAGCTATCATTTACAGTGTAGACCACCAATGATGTTTCTGTCGGTATGATGTTTCTGTCTCATACCCTATGTCTTGGAAGCAACACTTACACTCGAAAGTCCTGAGATATGGACAGCGTAGCTGCGCACTCCAACTCAACATGGCGTTCGCTGTACTGTCTCCGGGATAAGGGATGTAGCTGCTGCTGTGATTCGCGCCACGGCCCCGTTGACCCCCACCTTCTGACGCCTTTTATTGGGTCTTATCGGCTGACATCGTTTCCTGTTACCCTATAATGTTTTCGTCTCACCGCCCCCACCAACCCCCCCCCCCTACATCACTTCTTAGACGCAAAGTCTCCTTGCTACTGGGATAGGCGCTATGAATGTCGTGACCCACAGAAGGGGACACACACAGACATTCTTAGCGGATTATGTATAGTAGGATGAAGTCGATTTTTTGATGCGGTTCATCTTGGTGGGAGCATGGTGGTTCCCATCGATCACTGCCGACTCCTGTGGGACTTATGAGCTCCTGTAGAGCTACTCCGAACTTCTTTTCAACTTAGCAATAGTTCAAGTGTCTCTCAAAGGTGGACCTATAAGTTATCAGAAACTAGCGGCAGAATTTAGCAAATCAGGAAATACCCTCTATGAGCCGAACAGAGCCAATTTTGTTCTGCTTCCTTTCTCATCAACAAGCCAAGTACAGCTCGATTCTCGTTTGAATGCAGTTACTGGTTTGGCTTTGCTCTTGATGGGTGGGTTCGAGCAAGAGCCGCTGATTCTGAAACTAAGGACGACTCGTAAATGCTCTGAATTCCTTGTCACCAGGAATAACTGTGAGCGGCGGACTTTCAAATGAAGGCATTTTAGCCATTGCTGTGTGTGAGTGGAAGTATCCACCGATCAAGCTGCAGTTCTGCTGTGAAACGGTACTGAAAGAGAGATGCGCACATATTGAAAGGCAGAATACGCGATGAGCCATCGGGAGATTTGTTGGCATCAAGCTTAGAAATAGAAGTGTGTGTGCTAACTGACCCGCAAAAATAAGCAAAGACAACAGCCGAAAACGTTTGCAATCAGGTTTGCTAAGCGAAAGACAAAAGATCGATGTGGTTTTCGGGCGAGAGGCCAGACATTAGCGGCGAGAGAGCAGCAGACTTACGCAACCAATAAGGCATCTACCCATGTGGGCGGAGTTAGTTATATGGTCTTGTGTCTTAGCGACGCTGCCTTACAACTTTGGGCACTATTCAACTATTACTACCCCAGTTTTGCGAAAACAGGCCGGATCTTGATCGACTTTTTTCTACGGGGGCAGATTTGGCTGAAATTTGGGTTCTAGGGGTAATTCGACCTCGTGAACACGAATATCACATCCACTTGGCCTGAAAGTGCCTGGCGCCCGCGCCACAGGCGCCAGTGATTTAGGGCATTTTGGCGCCGGCGCCTGTGGCGCGGGCGCCGGGCGGTTTGAGGCAGAGCGGATATCCATGTTCAGGAGGTTGAATTACCCCTAGAACCCAACTTTCAGCCAAATCTGCCCCGTAGAAAAAAGTCGATCAAGATCCGGCCCGTTTTCTGAAAATTGGGGTAGTAATAATTGAACAGTGCCAAACTCTGACGTGAAACTTATACAGGGTTGTTGCTTACCCCTTCCCCCCCCTCAAAGGAGCATGTATCCTTATAGGTGACCAGTCGCCTCGCCGGCTGACGCCGGCGCGGCTCCTTCTGATACGGCCCGGCTGCGCCGGGCGGGCGCGGCTTCGCCGCGCGTGCTTTCTTTCACATATTTCTAGACTCAACTGATATCCCCCTTTTGTTCTGTACTCCACTTTTTTCCGGTGTCCTTCTGATCCCCCACGGCGTCGAAGAGGGCCCCGCCCAGCTGGTTTTTGTGCCCCACAATCCTCACGCGGCGACGCCTTTCTGAATCTTATCCACAGTTTTTTTCCGATCTTTGAAGTGCCTGGGACGGTTTAGAGAGTTTCGCGTGCTGCTTCCGCCCACCCCTAGACGACGCCCGCCCCGTTGTTGCTCACATTTTTCACCGACGACCCTCTGCTGAGACGTTCAATCACTTTTATGTCCTGGAGTGTCTGGACCGTTTTACAGACCCTTTTTGTCCTTGGTGCCCCCTCGAGCAGGCTCCGCCCACAATTTTTTTGCCTCACACCGCTTAACCTGACCGACCCCGCTTTGCTAGCATTAATCCGAACTTTTGTTCCGGTTTGTCTGGGAGTGTTTCTGGAACCGGCAACAACTTTTAAAATTGAATACCGCACTGCGATTAGCAAACTCCGCCATGCGGGCGGTCTCATCCAACGACACTTTGCAGCCCGCCCTATAAGGATACTTCTCACACTGAGTCTTTTTGAGACGACCTTTCACTCAAACACACCTCTCGCGAACCGGGTTATTGAATTTTCGCGAGAAGCACCGCCCACCTTGAGTACGCCCCGCCCATTTAGGGTGTACCTGCCACAGTTAGTCTGGCGACTCCTTACTAACCTTAGTCCTTTTTTCCCCATCTTTAAGCTGCTCCGGAAGCGAATTATGAACATTTTTCTGCGGAACCCCAAACTTTCGGCGAGTGCCCCGCCCCCCAACGGTGTGTTGCGGGCTTCCCATAGGTCAAGTGCTTTTCTTGTCCCATGCCCTACCCATCCCCACCTTGACCCGACCTCTCCAAGTCGTTCTTCAGGTCGAACCGAATTTCCGGACAGACAAACTTACAAACTTACAAACTTACAAACAAACAAACAAACAAACAGACAAAGCGAATTATATATATGGGGTGATTGTGGGCCGCGCCTTCAGTCGACATAAACCACAGCTGTGTTTCCATAGTTCAATTGAAAATCTTAATTATTTTCTAAAGCGCTATGGCTACAGTAAGCACAGGATAAAGCGTAGGCTTGTAGTGAGGTTTATTTCTGAAACTGAACAGTATGCAACAATATTTAAGAGCATTGCTTCAGAATTTATCTACTGATGAAAAATTGTCGTTCCTAACAATCAGTGCAAGCAATCGCGTTCTTCGCCAGGGAAGGCTCCAGCCAACTGAATTGTTCCGGCGTCGTAGATCTTTTTTGGAACCTGAACAGCTCCAGTTTATCTGAGATCACCGTTAAACCTTTAAGTGGACACAAAAAACACGTCTAGGAAGTTGTGTTCTCGCATTTTTCAGGCACTCGGAGAAGAGGATTAAAGGCAGTTGGCACGATGGTTTGGTGTTCGGCCTAAAATGCTAGTAGGGCGCTATATAGTGGGGAAATGGCGAAAGAACGGAGTGAAACGGTCAAAATCCTGCGAAGAAAAAGCCTCCGTTTCACTGTGTTAGTAATCAATTTTGGACGAGTTTCCCGTAGGCATCTTGCCAATAACCGCTACCGAAGGTACGGCTGCATATGTGTACTCATATATCCATGCAGCATCACGGCCGCTTCATACCAATCCCTTCGCTTCATAATTTGCTTAGCAAATGAATCGATTAGAGCGTCAGGAACGGTCGTCCATTTGTGGGCGGGCGGGCGAGGAAGGCGTTTGGGACGTAAAGTTGTTGCTCGATAGGGCGTTATAGGGGTACCCTCCTTGGAAAAGGCTTCACGGAGCGCCTGTCCGAGGTCACGGAATTCTGTTAAGCCAGTCGTATAAATCCTACACCTGTATAGCGATTTATCGTGCCAACTGCCTTTAATGCCCAGGTCATCCCATTCAAAAATGTGGGGACATATAGAGGAATGGCAGGAATGCGAAGGATATAGGGCTGCTACGGATTACTTTATCGTTTGAAAACTGATACCTTTATCTGCGTACCTGTCAAATTCCGGTAACCTAGCCACAGAAGAAAATCTATGGAAATTAAAGAGCGAGCAGATAAAGGTATCAGTAAAAAACGCGAGCAGTTGATTATGGAATCAGCCGTCATGAGAGTGAAGTGCGCTCCTAAACTTTATCCTGTGCCAGACTACTATGTAGTTGCGTACAAAGGTGTTCTTGAAGTGGCAATCCCGCAAAGATTCGGACTGAGAAGTCAAAGAAACGGTAACACAAACCAAAAAAAGGGCCTAGGATGGCTTCCATGACCTTCTATTGATCGCCCAAAAAAAGCGGGTGCATGAAGTCAGGCGCTGAATCTAGACGTCTGCTGCAACCCTTCGCCGCAAGGACTCCAGGAGTTTGAGAATGGGTTAGGATCTGTGTTTGAGGTTACCTTATTGTTCTTTAGAAGCACGCAACGCCAGATCGATTCATGTCCTGGGTGCATATGTTTCTCTGCAAAGATGTCATTTACGGACTGTTAAACATCTCCCGGCCTAGATGAAATATTGGTGCTCTTGAACGCAGAGCCAAAACTCACAAGTGTCAATTTTGTATTAATGCAGATGAGAACCAGGCCCGGTTCTGCCATCAGGAGTCACGTGGGTCCAACCGGACAATGATTATGGCAAGTATGACAATGGTCCCGCCTATTCTGGCTTCAAGCGGCTCTTATACGGAGATAAGTCATTGTCTCACGTTGCCTGTCCCTCGACAATTACGGATGGGCAAATGGATTTAGTACCACACAATTACACGAAGTCCACGTTGCTCGTCGACAATCGCTAGAAACCATCCTGAAACCCTATTATTGGGCAGTGCCTGCGGAAGGAAAACAATGCACAGTGCTGGGTTCGATCGCCTGATTCATCTGACCTACAGCTGCGCGATTTCAACTGTTCTGGTCCGTCCAACGGCAAACGCTAGGACCATTTAAAATTCTCCGAAATTGGTATCAAGAGCAGAGTTTAGTCGCATTCATTGAAAGAAGGAGGGTACCAATGGTTCAAACGCAAATATCATTTTTTGTCGGCTTTTCTCTTCGCTTTGTTGAATGAAACCTCCCGCATTTTTGAATAGGATGACCTATATATGCCATTGCAATGTATGCTCGACTAGGAGCTTTTACTGAAGTCATAACGAATAGGCTAGGGTTCAAAAGGTCTCGAAGTTTGGCATACCAATTTTCTTACCTTTCCTTGAGTGATGTACTTGTCAGGCAGCTTTATTGTGAATTTTCGCTGGCATGGCTGAAATAAACAACGTAATGAAACCACACTCCACGTTGATTGATCCTATGGGCGGAGCCAGCCAAATAGCAGACCTCTCACTTTCATTTGTCTCTTTCTATGACCGTTAGAGAAGTGACGTCAGTAAAGGGGGAATAATAGCTGCAAGCAACTATTCCATAACTAGGGTCTGACCCCGTGCTCATGCTTGCTACACTTCGTGTTAGCCATTGCCCCTCCCTAGCTACCGCATTGTCCTCAGTGTAAGTTTTCTACCCTCATGTTCACTTTGTACCTCACACGGGTCTTCACAACCCACATGCTCGGCATCAAGGTAGTTTTTTGGGAGGTTTAGTTTTTCGGGCGGTGGAAGAAGATGGAACCGCGGTCCAACACATTAAAAACTACTTGTACACTCAGCTATGTACATCCTAAACATTGCCATATGTGGGGCGGATGGCTCGTGGCTGAAGTGGCGTGCCACTTTCTCTCGGAAAAATGTGCACGGGACAAAGCTCGTGGGTAATGATACCCGGGTGCCGTCTCCATACGCCGCCCGCGCTGCTGTACGGTCAGCATAACCCTAGCAAAAGCGCTAGTTGTCGCGCATTCTCCCTTCCATTTGTTCTCTACCACTGAATGTATGTTTCGCTACGGAATTTCGATATCGACGCAAAAGCTGCGAAGTGAGGATAGCATGGGCAGATATGGAGGCTGCATCCGGCTAGCACTACCCTACAGCCCTATCCCCGTGCAATTTTGAGCGGAAAAAGAGGCCGAAGCTGCAGCTACGGACCTATTCTCCTCGCACATGGCGAGAACCATCCTCTAATATGAATATACAATCTCAGTTTTACATGTTAGGATATTTCAAAACTTCGCATGACGTCACATAACAATCTCACCCCTTTTTCTCACTCCCTAAGCTTATGCAAAATTCCCATTCTGAAGCATGATCAATGAGTGCTATCGAACGCGGCGAGTACAGGGTAAAAAAGCTTGTCAAAAATTGTTAAAGCAACCTACCAGGAAAGTCATTTTTTCTGGTCGAACGTTCCCAGTAACCATTTACTGCTCCTCCTCTCGCCTCGGGAACTCCCACGAACCAAAAATGTGCCCTGGTAATGAGACACGATTTCCACGTTATTGACCTGTTCCCCTGAGACCTCATGCGCGGTAAGATTTTCTTGACGTAGCGGTGGGGGTACAGTTCTACATTGG